AAGGGAGGGATGAGGGAGAGGGGGAAGGGGAAAAGGGAGGGAGGAGGGAGGGAAAAAAGGGAGGGAAGGGGAAAAGCAAAAAGGGAGGGAGGAGGGAAAGGTGGAGGGAGGGGGAAAAGAGGGAGGAGCAGAGGGAGGAGGGGGGGGGAAGGGAGAGAGGAGGACAAGACGAACAAGGGAAAAGGGATGGGAGGGGAATGGGGAAGGATGCGGGTGGACGGGGGGAAGGGAGGAGGAGGGGAGGATCGGGTTAAATAGTGAGGAAAGGGGAGACGGGAGTGCTTGGAGAGGAGCGAGAATGGTCGGAGAAGGAATAAACGATGGAGATAAAATGAGAGAGATAGAGAGTGAGAGAGAGAGAGAGAGGAGAGAGAGAGAGAGAGAGAGAGAGAGTGAAGAAAAACAAACAAACAAACAAACAGAAACAGAAAACAAACAAACAAACACAAAACAAAACAAAACAAAAACTCCCACAAACCAGACACACCAAAAACAGAAAGGACGGGAAACGTTCCTCGACGTCTCACACACACACACACGCGACACCGCCCACTGCTTTATCCTCAATATTTCATCTCAAGACAAATTCCTTCCTACTTGCCCTGTGCGATAGATCCTAGAAAGGAGGGATTTCAGACCCAAAAACACGTGAGTCGTAAATGGCTGTATGGCGTTTCTGAATCACCATGAATAAGGAAATAAACGGTAAATCACTTCTGTTGTCGTAAACGTGTAGAGAGATAATGGAAATCGCAAAGCTTAAAAGATGAGGTATGATGAATGGGTTGGTAAGAATGATATAAAAATAAATGGATGTCGATAATAATGATAATGAAATGGATAATGATAATGGTAGTAATGATGATACTACTAACATTAGTATGAGTATCAATAAAGAGGGTAATAACAATAGTAGTAATAACAATGATAATAATAATATTGATGATGATTATAATGATAATGATGATGGTGACGATGATGATGATGGTGATAATTATAATGATGATAATGATAATAATAATAATAATGATAATAATAATAATAATAATAATAATAATAATAATAATAATAAAAATAATAACAATAATAGTAATAATGATGATAGTGATGACAATATCAATGATTATAATAATAGATGATAATAATAGATGATGAAAATATTAAGAAAGATAATATTACTGATACTACTGACAATACTAAAAAATAAATTATTATAATGATAATAATGATGATGATGATGACAATAACAATGATAATATTAATGATAATAAGGATAATAGTAATGAAAATAATAATAATAATAATTATTATTATTATTATAATAATGATAATAATTATGATAATAATAATGACGATGATAATGATAATTATAATAATGATGATAATAATAATAATAATAATAATAATAATAATGATAGTAAAAAATGATAATGATAACAATGCTAATAATGATGATAATGATAATGATAACATTAATGATAATGATGATGATGATACTGACAGCAATGAGAATAGTAATAATAATAATAATAATAACAATAACAATAATAACAACAATAATAATAATAATAATAATAACAGTAATGATAATCATAATTACAAAAATAACAGTGGCAATGATAATGATAATAGTGATGATATTAATAATGATAATAATACTTCTACTAATAATGAAACTGCTACTACTACTACTAATGGTGATGATGATGATAATAATAATAATAATAATAATTGTAATGATAATTTTATCAATAAAACGATAATGATAAGAACAACAGCGATATTTTTATCATTATTATTATTATTGTTATCATTATCATCATTACTGTTAATGATGATAATGAAAATGATGATGATAATGAGAACGATAATGATAGTAATTAATGTAAAGAAAATATTTAAAGTATATTATAATAAAAACCCTGTTAAGTCTATGGTACACCAAACATTTTTACTTCTTTTGAGGATCATAAAGGTGGCAAAAATAACTTCCTTGTTGATTGTGATGAAACTATCACTGTGGAGGTGTTGAATGCTCTACCGTGGTTTATTTGTTCGTTCTACGTTTCTTGATTGCATGGGTCCTTTTAATTTCATTATCATCGTTATAAATGAATATGAAAGTTATCCTATTTTTTTTTTCGTTTTTTTCTTTTTTTGGGGGGGGGGGGATTTCGGATTTTAGTCATAAAACTACTACTTCTACTTATTAACAAGGAAGAGTGATGATTATAAGGATAAGTTTAATAACACAGAAAAATAAAGAGGAAATGCATGCGAGCAATATGTTCGCATTTCATAAGCGTGTAACAACTACAGCGAAGCACAGCGCAGAAAATCAACGCAAATGAACAGAGAAACTAAAAACAACAACAAAAAACACAAACGCCCCACACACCCTTTAGAATTACTAATTGAACAGATAAAGATAATAATAATAACACTAAATACAAACAAACAAAAAAAAATCCCATATCTTTAGGAATTCAATGAATCTTACCTTGCACGTCGAGATACCCGACCTGGTTGATCATGGGGTCAGAGTTCACTTGGCACATGTACTGACCGCGATCGCTTGATCTCACGTCCGAGATCTTGAGGTACCAGTGCTTGTGGTCGTTGCGAGCCAGGGAGAAGCGCGGGTTTTTGGTAATGATGGTGTGGTGGATGGTCAGGATGGTCTGCGTCTCGACGAATACCCAGGCCACCTGAGAAAGAGAGAATAGACAGGAGATACGTCGAAAAGGATAATAATTAGAAGAGGTAAGAAAAGACACAATAAGCAGCATCTGTACGAAGATCTAGGTCACCTGAGAAGGACAATAAACAGGAGATAAGGCGAGAAGGATAATGAATAGGAGATTTAAGAGAAGACGTAATGGTCTGCGTCGGCACGAAGACCTGAGGAAAGAGAAAGAGTAAGAAAGAGGTATGTCGTTAGATAAGAAAGAGGGATAGGTGTTTGAGGGAAACCATAGTAATTACACGGTGGTCTGCGTCTCAGTGTTAATCAAGAGCACCTGAGGAGGAGAGAAGGAAAACGTGATAAGGAGATGAATAAGTTAATGAATAAGGAGATGAATAAGATAATGAATACATGAAATAGTAAAGAACACACAATTATCTACGTCTCTGCGAAGAACCAGATCACTTATGAAGGAGGAAATGAGAAGAAAGTATATCGATAAATATGAAAGAATATTGATAATTGGAGGCAAACCCACATCACCTAAGAAAGGGGGAATAAGGAGATACGTCAATATGAGAAGAACGAAAATAGATATATCGATGAATAGAGACTAATGGAGGAAAACCCACCCCACCCAAGAAAGAGAGAAAAAGGAAACATGTCGACAAATAGGGAAGAATTAGACCACCTTAGAAGAAGAAGACAATAAGGAAAGGGCGATACTAACTAAAGGAACTAACTAAAGGAACACACGATACAAAGACCCAGAAGAAGGAGAGTAAAGAGAAATATTCATAAAAAAAAACATATTTTGAAGACATTGAATGCACACCATACATTGTGTCTGAGGAAGAGGGTAGCTACTCAAAAGGTAAAGAATAAAAAGGAGGTATGACAATGGATAAAAAAACATCATAATAAATTAGGGAAATAATAGAAAACACACGATAATCGGCGTCTGCACAAAAACCCCGGGCCTCCCTGAGAAGGAAGGAATAAAGAGATAGGATGATAAATGAGAATAATGATAATTTAGGAAACTAATTGAGGACAAACGATGGTCTGCGCTTCTTAAATCACACAATCCACCAGAAAGAAGGAATTAGTGAATAAAATGATGAAAGAAAGGGAATATAATATACCATCAAAGAAAAAAAATATTTTCATAGAATAAGAGTAAGTGACAATAATTAGGGAAGCAATGAAGAAAATAAGATCCAGGCCACCAAAGAGGGAAAAAATAAAGAAAGGGTAAATGAAGGAAATAAGATTGAAGATCAGATTCGCCTCAAAAGAGCAAAAAAGAAAGAAAAGAAGAGAATAAAAATTAATAAAACTGGGAATATGAAACATGAGGATGGTGTCCGCCTATGCAAAGAGCCAAGCCATCCAGGAGAGAGATTGGAATAAAGGATAGAAGATAAAGGAAAGAGAGAAAAACATATGAAGAGAGAAAGAGAGAGGAAGAGAATAAGAGTGAGAGAGAGAGAGAAGAAGAATGAGAGAAAGAGAGAGATAAGAATGAGAGAGAGAGAGAGAAGAAAGAGAGAGAGAGAAGAATGAGGGAGAGGGTGAGAAGAAGAAGAGAGAGAGAGAAAAAAAAGAAGAGGTAAAGGAGAGAGAGCACAAGAAGAAGAAGAAGAGAGAGAGAAGGGGAGAGAGAGAGAGATAGAGAGAGAGAGAGAAAAAAAAAACAAGAAGAAGAAAGAGATAAAGAGGAGAAAATTGCAGATCCAAGACCACATAAACGTAAGCGGTGTTAACAGAGAAAAAGAAAAAGAAATCACAAAGGCAAACAAAGGAAAGAGGGATAAATGTATAGAGCTAAAAACACACAAAAAAAAAGGATAAAAAGAAAATTAATGGAAAGGGAGGAAAATCTTAGAAATTTAGGGTGACATACGCACGCACGCGCACACACACACACACACACACACACACACACACACAAACACACAAACACACACACTCACTCAAAAACACACACACACTCAAAAAAAAAAAAAAAAAAAAAAAAAAAAAAAAAAAAAAAAAAACATATACAAACCCCAGGGCCATTCACACTCAAACAACCCTCCTTATTTTACTGACCTTGTACCCTTTGAGGTTGTCGACGGAGCAAGGAAGAATGACGTCCCTGCCGACCACAACCGTCTTGTTGGGAATCGGTTCCAGGAATCGCGGGGCCGAGTTGTCAACTAGCCCTCCTTTTGGGATGGAAGGAGGGAGGGAAGGAGAGAAGGAGGGAGGGAAAGGGTGGAAAAAGGGAGGGAGGGAAAGGGGTGGAAGGAGGGAGGGAAAGGGGTGGAGG